TGACTGAATTTTTTGAGCTTACAACTTATTTAGATTAATTCTTCTATCAATTCTTCACCTGCCAATCGTCTTTTACACTTAAACTGGCTTTATTTTCTGTCAAAATTTTGATAATTTCTATATTTCCATTCTCAGCCGCATAATGCATTGAAGTTTGCTGGAAAAAAATGTCTTTATAATCCACAGCAGAATAAACATTTTGTTGTCATTGAAGTCTAATCGCATCTCATCAGAGAATATTAACTTGAAAGTAGCAGTAATTGATTACAATTTAAGCTGTAAAATATAAATATTTGTTGATAAAGTTGTTTCAAACTGACTTTCATTGAAGTACTAAAATGGAAAGAATTATTATTATCTTCGAAGTATAACTTTGTTTGTTTTTGATTGTTTTATCATTTAGACTGCCGAGCACTTATATAACTGTATAAGAAGTTTTAGCAGACGAAAATAAACAGCGAAGTAAAAGAAAGAGCAAAAAAAATTAATATAGAAAAATAAATAGATTTTGAAAAGAGCAATTCTTCCTGTTTCTTAGCATGAAAAATTTTTTACCTCATTTCTTTCTTATTTCTCACATTTTCTAACATTTTCTTTTGCGTGATTTACTTCATAGATCACAAAAAATTTTCATGTTTTTATGAGATGATTTTTGATTAAATTTTTTTTTTTTTTTTGAAAGTTATGACAGATTTTGTCTAACTTCTTCAAAAAACTTTTACCTGAGCGTAATCTTTAACATCCGAATCAGCTTTATTGTCAGCCAACATTTTCACAACTTTCGTATATTCGTTGTATGCTGCACAATGCAATGGGGTTTCCTGAAAAATTGTGTTTTTACGACCGCGGTAGGGTAAACTTTTGGTTGCCACTGAGGTTGGACCCAATGTCGTCAGGGAATAATAACTTGAAAACCGGAATAATTTATCACTTATCTTTTTTTCAACATGTTTACAAAATTTGAATTTTTGTTGAAAAATTTGTTTCAAACTGATTTTTCGGTATTGCACAAAAAAGTCAGGTTATCTTTGTACTACAAATTCATTGTTTTTAAATTTTTTTACAACTTAAGCTTTTCACTGAATACACAGTTATGTAATTTTTGAAAAAAAAAATTTATCACAAAATAAAAAAGTAGAAAGGCGTTGCAAATAAATATAAAAAACTAAGTTTGAAAAAAAATTTTTTTCTAAGCAAGGGGTTTTTTAAAACCATTTACGCAAGCATTTTTTCAAATTTTTCAAACATTTTTTGAAGTAATTTACTTCACAGTTTTCGAACAAATCTTTTGATTAAAATCGAATAACTTAAAACTAGATTTTTGTAAACTTTGACCTGATATTCTTCGATACTGCAGTAATTCTTCACCTGCCATTCGTCTTTTACATTCAACTGAGCTTTATTTCTAGCCAAAATTTCCACAGTTTCTACATTTCCGTGCTACAGGCTGCGTAATGCATTGGAGTTTGCTGAAAAAAAAGTCTTTGTAATTTTAGTAAAATAAAGTTTTTCTAAATCATTAAAATTCAATTTTTTTTTGTCAGAGAACAGTAACTAAAGAATCAAAGTAAGACATGACTTTGTTTTTATTTCTTTATGGTTATGTTGTGGTTTTTAACAGCACTCATTATTCTTAAGATTTTTGTCATCTTTTTTTATATTTGTCGCAATTTTTTTGAACTGTCCATTATTTATGCAGATAAATAAAGAGAATTAAAATTTATTTATTTGTTATATAAAAATTTTTTTTTCAGTTTTAATAGCCAAAAGATTGATACATAACGTTTTTGGTGTGTGAAACCCATTCCCCGTTGTTCTGACAAAGATTCGACCAACTGTTTCTAAAACACTGACTAATTCAGTAAAGATGACTAATGTAGCAGACAGCAAAAGATGTGGTCGTATGGTATGAAACATTTACAGCACTAATAGTTACTTCCTCTAAGAGTGACATAAAGAGCATGGTAAAGCATAAAATGAGAAAAAAGTCAAATCGTAAGTTTCGTTCTTTATTCTGTTTACCGGTAAACAAACTAAATGCAAAAACTTCATAACATTATCAGTAATATCACCCTGTAATTTAAATCCTGTTTTAGCTCAGTTCACACAGAACTGCAAAAAAATACTTAAACCAAACTGATAAAGTCCTGAAGGTGCATAACGATAACTTCTTCACTCCTTCTTCGCATGTGAAAGAACTTTCCTCAATTCTCCAACCCAGATACAAATTTTTTCTTACAGTTTCAAATCTATAATCAATAGCCAACCTTATCTTCCCCACACCTCCTTCCGTCAGCTATTTACCACCATTTTTCTGCAATCTTAGACCCAATGGCACCATTAAGCCTACATTAAAGTATTGATCAATCAGCAGCAAGCTATTTGTGATGATAAATCGCTCATTTTCGTGCGACAATTTCACACCTTCTACCTTTCAGTTGCCTACCCCAAACTGTGAAGCTTGAAATGCACGCATAAACTGCGTGGATGTTACAGTTTTCAAGAAGAACCCCCCTTTTTCGATTTTAGCTGCGTTGATTTCCCTTGCAGTCAAATTACAGACTTTTTCCGTGAAACTCTGACTAACAGCGATATAGAGAAAAAAACACTGAAGAACTGTGAAGTTGCTAGAACATTTAGCTGGATTTATTTAGTTTGGATGGTTTCAAACCAGAATTTTTAAAAAAGCCCTTGGTGATGCCGTAAAATACCAACATTTAAAACTTTCTGTGCAGTGTTGAATATTTTAAAATGAAGACAATTTGTAAGTAGCAAAACCAAGCTGTTATAGAAACAAAATCTGTCACCACCCCCACTCGAAAAGAAAAACCGATAAAATGCCCAATAT